TTAATGGACTTTTCAGCCTTTTCAGAGTTGTCAGACAGCTGAGGAATCTGTACAAGACCAAGAGAGCTTGTAAAATATTTAAAGCTTTAACTTGGAACATTCTGAGTAAAACTTGTTTTAAATAAGAAAATATTCACTGTAGGATTTTAAAAATATTTCTATATTACATGCACATGCATTGAATACACTAAGTTTGAAGCTTCTCTCAACTAAAAACAGCCTATTCCTCCTTGCAATGTGGAACAAAGATTTTTTTGAAAATTTTGGAAATGACAGACCAATAAAACAGCATTATTCAAATGTGTGAATGAAACAAAACACAACCCCAGGTATTTTTGAGAAGGTAAACTGTATTATAGCATGGCTAAAACCTCCCAAGTCCATTTTGTGTAATATAGGATTTAAAGATCAATAAAATCTCTACATCAGCACTAACCAGAGCAAAACCAGTACAAGTGTGAATGCACCCATATACTTTATAACCAAGTCTCTCTGTTGTTTTAGTATTGACCAATAGGCCATCAATATGTTGGGTTTCTGATGACAACTTTCCGCCACTCATGATGTACCAATTATTTTCAGCAATGAATAAAAACTGTGTCTCACATCCTTAACTTCAATTCATTAGTTGCAATCAGAGTAATCTGATAGTTCACATTTCAGCCACAAGACAAACTACAGTATAACTAATGTATCAATTAAAATACAGATTATTATAAAATAACCACTTTTACTCTACAAATCCATGAACATGAACACCATTTTTGGTTTATTATAGAACATATTCCACTTGTCAGATTAATTATTAGTTATCTGATTACTCCAATTATCTGACTTGTAAAAATGTGACTGAATAAGGGACTGTCATTTCTAGATTGGCTCTCCCTCCTGAGTCATGGTACAGCCCTAAATGTCAGCAGAGACTCCTCTTTGCCATGAGCGAGCTGAACAACACTTTATCTGCAGCTCTAAAACTGTGAGTCAGGCCAGAATCGTGTGAAAAGCACTCACACTCACCACAAGAGGGTTCATCAGTAACAGAGTGGATCAGCTCTGTGCTTAGACTGAGTCACCACCTGAGTCTTCCTGTGTATACACTCAAACTACAGGACCACTGCTACAACAGTGCAATCGAAAACTGTTCAGTAAAGATCCAATTTGATACCTGTTTTACTTCTCCAGTACTGCAACTGCAATCTAATCTTTATTTTAACACAATCTAACCAGAAAGAGCTGGTATGCTGTTAGACAAGTCTCTCACGTCACTGTCACCTTTTTGTTAAAAATCAAACTCCTTAACAGGACTGTGAATGCTCATATTGATCACAGGCTCCTGAAAATGTGCTTTTTGAATCAATATGTTAAAACTTTTTTAACAGTCTTTGCTAATGTGTGCATTGTGTCTCCATGGTAACTACTAAACATTCCACCATAGAGATACATGCAAAACACCCCCAGCATGATGTCACTGCAAAGTATCAATAATCAAAATTGCTACAGTTTCAAACTGAGCTGGACGACAGGTCAATCTTCTATGGTGGAATTTGCTATGTGACTGTCAGATTGTAGATTTGTTGAACTGGCTTATGGTTAATCTCTCTGTAATAGCATGAAACTAAAACTGGCAGAGATTTCAACATTTTCTCTGTCATCTTAAATAAACAAAAGTGAAATGATTTCCTCACAGTTGCCACAGAAAATGGTATCATTATTCAACCACAAAGATGTGATGACTGTCATTTGAACTGACCTTGAGCAATAAGAGTAATATTGCAAGTTTGTGTAGCCAATTTTTAACAAATAATGATAGGTTTTTAGAGATCCTTCTGGAAAAAAAAACAATGAAACTCCCATAGAGTGTTATAGGCCCCTGCATAACATAAACAGATTCTAGAGACTATTATGTACAAAATCTATTACATTTGTAATTTATGTTTTAATAGATGTTAAATGCAATATAATGATATGGTTAACTTTGTCATAGAATAAAACATCTTCAGGAAAAACAATGGGACTTACTCATACCTTCCTCCCACACATTTCTACTGTACAAGAGTCAACAGCATACAGACAACACTGAAACTACACTGTCTGGGCCATTATGAGGAGATGTGTTCACAGACAATAGAGTGTAGTGTGTGGTTCATAATAATCATAATCATAATAATGGATTCTGTTGTGTTTTAAAAGTTTGACAAGCCTCTCAAAGCGCGACAATAGGCTTCATTTTTTCACTCCACACTCAGTGGTGGTAAACTGCTTCTATAGTTACAGAAGGGTTGAGGTATTGATACTTTGCAGCTGATGTCATTAACATTCATTAACTGAGGGTGTGATGTTAACTGAAGGCACTGCTCTGTCTGAAGATCTGTTGCTCAAATTAGACTTCTGAGTTTTATTTTAACACAATCTGACCATAAAGCACTGACTTGACTGACTAACTACAACAGGTGAGCTGATTTGTGCTGTTAAACAAGTCTCTCACACTGAAAATCAAACATCGAAACAGGTCCATAAATGCTTATACTCATCACAGCCAGGTTCCTGAAAATGTGTTGTTTAAATCCATTTTGTATTTTTTCTTGAGTTTTCAGATGGTCTTAAAACCTTTTTGGCAGTATTTGCTAATGTGTACATTGTGTCACCATGGTAATCTCCTCCACAGATATCCATGCTGAACACCCACCCCCAGTATGATGATACTGCAAAGTATCAATAGACTGAAATAACTAACTACTGCCAATCTGTGCATATGCCCCCTGATCACTTACACCACAAAAAAGCAAGTGGATGATGAAGATGATAACAACAAGGACACTATTTCTAGCCCTATTTAAGGCCTGACTATGCCCCGGCTTAGTCTTGGTTTAGCCCTGGTGATGGGTTTCATCTTACAAAATACTCCAGACTTGTCAGCCTAGGAGCTGAATGTCCATTTTGTGGTGCAGTTGTATAAATACTAACACTGTATACCATTCATTATTAGTACAATTCTGTGTATTAATTTATCACATGAAACTCAGTGTTAGTGAACTATTTCTGTGACTTTTACATCAAATTTAGACTACATGTGTAAGACCATACAAGGACACTCAATGCTCCAGTATAACTCGTTTTTCGGGGGGGGTTGTTGTGGCTTTGCTAATTTGAATGAATGAAGTCATAGCCTCTATAATTAGTGTACCACAATACACACATTCATGGGTAATTATTGCAACATATTCAACAAAATGATTTAGGGATTTAGAGCCACTCTGTGAATGACTGTGCAGCCTCTGGTTAGAAAAGCATTATTTCAGTTTAGAGTCATTTTGTTTGATGTCATGTTAATTGAACCTAAAGGCCAAGGAATGGAGTTGTTGCCACTGAATGCTTACAATTACTGTTACCGATGTATATGTCACCAGTATTTTTTGCTATTGAAACTTTGCAGTGACATCACCCCGGAGTTGTTCCACATATATCTCTGTTGATGAAATGTTTAATAGTTACCACGGTGACACAAAGCACACAGCAAACACAGACAAAACAGTTTTTACACAGTTTGAAAAATCAAGATTTAAACAACACAAACAATTTTCAGGAGCCTTTGATCAATACGAGCATTCATGGTGCTGTTTAGGTGTTTTATTTCCAACAAAAAGGTGACCATGACTGGAAAAAAAAATAAAAAATTTATGTTACGTGCAGGAGACTTGTTAAACGCACAAATCATCTCACTTGTTGTAGTTTCAAACAAGTCAGCTTTTTCTGTTCAGATTGTTTTGAGAGCACGTTGAGCATTAAGAGTAATATTGCAAGTTTGTGGAGCCAATTTTTTTTACCAAATAATGATACGTTTTTGTGGATCTTCTTGCAAAAACAATGAATCTCCCACAGAGTGTTATAGACCCCTCCAAAACATAATCAGATTCTAGAAACTCTACTATATTTGCCATTTATGTTTTAGTAGATGTTAACTGCAATATAATAGTAATGTTAACTTTGATCATGAGCTTCAGGAAATACAATTGGACTTACGCATACCTTTTTTTCAACCAAGTCAGCTTTTTCTGGTCAGACTGTTTTAAAATAAAGATCAGATTAATTCTAACTTGAATAACAGAGCTTCAGACAGAGTAGTGCTTTCAGTAAGCTTCACACCCCCAGGGAATGTTAATGACGGAAAGTGGAAGAGTAATTATTGTCTCATCGTCTGGTTGGAAACAGCTCAAACATTCTCATAATTATAATGTAAAATTCTTTATCTTGTCATCGATCATGTGAGGTGCTGTACAGGGCCTGTGTAGTGAATGCAGTCACTACATGCCTTTGTGCCTCAGACTGATTATTCATGAGTGAAAATTTAGAAGCATGGTGTAACAGAGCAGAAAGAGGAAGCCAAATCAAATGGAGAAATTGCAGATAATTAACAAACAACACGGAGCTGATACTGGCAAAGAGGCAGAAACCAGAGAGTCCAGGGCTGAACCAGGACTGAGGGAGTTTTCTCTTGTACACAACACAACTAACTGGGACTAAATACAGAACTAAACCTGGACTAGACAGGGACTCAACCAGAACTAGAACAAGACCAAGCCAAGTCTACATTAGGACTAGACTTTAAAAAAAAACGAGGGCAGGTAAAGCATCAACCAGAACTAAATCTGAATCTGAACTTTTTCTTGATCCAGACCAAACCTAGAGGTACTGAAGCATTGTCAAAACCTAAACCAGGAAAGAAAGGTCTCACAGTAAGAATGCATATTATTGATGTTAAATGTCACTGTGGAACATAACAATAACCTCTCCATGGAGAACTGCAGATCCCCCATGAGAAAAGTTACACATCTTTTAGGATATAAACCAGGACAGGCTAAATTCAACCTAAACTATAAACTTAATTAAAAAGGACTAAACAAGACCTGAATGTAAATGTGCAAACTAGGACTAAAATGAAACCTCAGTATTTGCAAGATTCTGCTCTGGATGAGAAGGTTATTGCATATTTTGTGTGTTACCCGTATTGTCTTTGAGCCCACGAAGGATGAATCTGCTGCACTCCAACAGAGAGACCTGCTTCAGAAATAAAACACAAAAGACAAGAGAAGGTGAGGAGGGAGTTTGGATTTCTTCAGTCAGATCACAAGTACATTTCTTATCAAACTCTATATATCTAATACAAATACACATCAAATGCTGCTCTTTGAATCATTATATATCATTTTCATATAATCAGTAAAACAATTCATTGCAATGTCAATTTTGATAAGGGAACTTACAAAAGACAACTCTTATTTGGCCCATAAAGGAGACATTTCAAACAAGACAAATACTCCCACCACACCTCCTGCTACTTCTACTATCAAATATTCTTTTTTATCTCTTGGATAATGTTAAACATTTCTACAGTGACAACAAATACATTTTTTTCTCATTCTCTGTATACGGACAGGCTATGCCTCATGTGAACCTCAGAACCTCTAGAATTCCCTCACTGAGCTGCAGAGGCTGCACTAGCACTGATTCATGATTGGCTGCATGTGCTGGGCATTAGGTAGTGACCATTCAGAGCAGAGAGAGGCAGTTTAGGTTTAAGCCAACTGGATTTCAGCATTGAAGCTGGCAACTCATGTTCTGCTTTCTGACTGCATAGTCATCTTCAGAACCAAAACACCAAATGATGGTTTTATAATTAAGAATAGACTGGCATTAGAATTGTCAGTAAGAGCTATAAAATAATATTATTTATAAAATAAAAAGTCAAAATCTTACATTCTAACCCTTTAAGTGAGTAACTAGTCCAACAGTTCTACAGACTTGAAAAGAAATCAATTTTCTCCCAAGGCTTCACTTGCCCTTTCACAAACTATAGCCTTTATCCTGAAGACTGAAGTCTAAGTGCCTGAAGTTACAGTATAGTGAGGAAAGATATTTTATTTTAGCTCAGAAGCCGGAGGAGTCAAGAAGAGGAGACGAGGAGAGGAGACGAGGACAAGGACAGAGCTCATACGGCCTCTTCTGTCTCTGCCTGTTTGAATCTCCTCATGATCTTTATATGTGGAGCTGTGGCACGCTCATACTCCAGCTCCATCTGTGCCAGTGAACACACACCACTGCAAACATCTGTGAGCCCGCGTGACTCCATGTGTACAGTGTACTGTATGCACAGGCATATACTCCTAATGAGACTGTTATCGAAAACGCAATATGATAAACCAGGACAAACCAATGCAAATATGAATCGGCATGGAATAAATACTAGACCTAAAGAAGTAAACAAGGGCTAAACATTACATTAGTTTAAAGTGAGAATGATGTTTCTCTAATTTTCACTTAATTTGATGGGATAGTATCTGATACTACCTATTCAGCACTATTACTATTACTCAACACTTTTTTTTCTGAAACTTTAAACATTATTTCCTATTTAGTTTTTTTGTAATTTTATTTGCTAAATAATAATTTCGGTGCACATCAGAGAAGCCTACTTACAGCATGGTTGCAAAAGTTGGAATCCCCTAGTGTGATGTCATAATTTCCAACCAGGTAGTGAAATTTTTAAGAAAATTTTTAAATGGCCAAACTGACTGAGGGAAAAATTTTAAAGCTTTTTGTAAAATATTAAATGTAATGGTCTTAACTGTGTTTTAGTAAAATGAAAGTTCAATGCAGTGAAGGTCTATGTAAGTTTTCTGGTGGAGGGTCTGCCAACAGCTTGCTTTACAGAAAAGCAATTGATTTGCCTGGAATATTCCACATTGCTGTTTTAAACTGATCTTTCTTGCATTGGATTCAGTTGCAGGTATCCTATGCCATTCCAAGATAAACAATCTCCATCGAATAATAAAAGTTTCAGACCCTCCACCAGAAAACTTGTGGCCCAAACAAAATTTCAACCCATTTTCTCAAGTCATTAGCATTTATGATAGTATACTCCTGTCACCACCTTGTGTCCTTGAGCAATACGCTTCATGTGCTGTGCTTGCAATTGTTAGTGAGACTATGTGGTTATGCTCTTTCTCTAAATTTTACACAAAAAGTTTGTGTTATATATATGTTTTATTAATGATATACTTACTATTAAATCTTCAAATTTTACATATTTCCAAAACAACAATTGCAATATTTATGAATTTTCTCCCACCTCTACAGCTGCATGAATAAGCAGTGGATCATGTATAATGCAGCTAAGTGAATTCTTGTTTTAAAAATGTAGTAGCCAATATTGTGATACAGCTACACTTAGTATTACACAGGCCTAACCCCTCTTTATCTCCCTCCTCCTTCGTCTTGAAGAGTACATTTTCCTGCCAACAGCACCTCAGCCCTGACAGACACTCTGCTTCCTGCTCTTAACAGTCCCTCCTCTCTTTCTCTCACATCTTATTTGCTTCGTGCTCCTGCAATCCTCACACACAATAACCAAATACCAAGCACTGCCATCTCTAGTCCACTGCCAGTTTTGAGGGGAGCTGTGTGGCAGTGGCCAAGGCAAATAAGGACACAGTTGTGGTCAAAGAGAGGGAAAAAAACTCAAGAGGAGACAGTGATTGGTAACCTGCAGTAACTAACATCAATCAAACCTCATGTCGTGACTATCCATGGGTTTCAGAGAGTTGAAAATGAATGCAGTTGTCACGGCAATTAATGATTCAAAAAAAATGATTAAATCTTTTGAATGGTGCTCAAAATGGCATCTATAAACAGAGATCTGAAATAGAATAGGAACATGGGAATAGAAACATGTAGAAATCATTTTAAAGATTTATTTGTTGCATATTCCTTTTTGTGGAGATATTACAATAAAACAGACAACAGCTGTTTCCAAATAGAGTAAGGAAATCATGGGTTTCAGTGACTATGAAGGACTTTTGTCCATTAAAAACATATTACATCTTGATTGAATTTGCTTAATTGCATTGGCAACTGTTGGAAACCCATGGATCCCTGGATGATAGCATTACATATTACTGAAATTAAGGCTGTAACAATAACTGAGATATTGTGATATCGTATCATCAACGAATTACAAGTCTCTTTGCATAAAATAAGAGTTATGGTGCAATAGCCAAAAAAAGACAGAGGGAACTACACATCTCGGTATGATATTTACTACGATATTTTGAAGAGGCTAATAATTAAAGATGGGACACTTTTTTGCTTTTAAAATACCTTGACAAGATTTTGGTGTGAATTATTACCATCATAATCTCAAGAATTCAAGTAAAAAACATATTTCTTCATGTTGTCTGCACTGAAATGAATCATGGGATATGTAGTTTCTGATGTTCATAAGCTGTTGCTACTATAAAAACATACATTTAAACAAAGGATATATTGTGACAGTCCACGATATTATTGTGAGACTTTTGACGATACAATATCATGATATTTCGGTTATTGTTACATCCCTCTATCTAATTATTTTTATATGTATAGGCCTACTTCAGTTTGTAGTATGGCTGTAATATTTATCATGCCTTAATTTAGCATTAACACTGAGACACAAACATATCTCTTTCTAAACACAGAAGAGGCTTAAGTATTCTTTTGAACTGTGTGCTTTTTAACATGTTGCCAGTGACATCCTGTTCAATGCCTTATCTTTATATATTTACTCATTTTAAGCACGACTTGGTAAAAACCACATTGAGATAAAATTGGGCAGGAACTAGTGACGCTAGCTGTGAGGTTAGAGTCTATTTCCCAGTAAATGTTTAGCTATTAATTTAACCTCAGTCCTTATTTGTTATTTTGCCATTTTTAGTCTAACTTCTTTTACAGTAACAAGATGGCTGCTATACCACATATGTCCCTTCTAGAGTTTCAATCCACTTCCCTAGCTACTGTTGGCATGGCTATTTGTCAATCACACCTACACGGCAGCATTTCAGAGCCAGTTTGCTGTATAAACATGAGGAGAGAGGGGGAGTCTACCAGCTACAGTCAAACAAATACACATGAAACACATGAACCTGAGCAGGAAGCACAGAGGCAGAATGTATAGTGAAAATAAGCATTTAGCAACGGATGAGTGGAAATATATAACAATGCAGTTCTATATTTAACTGTGCAATTCATTCACAAAGCATGGACAATATTTTGATACAGTTTGAGTAAGGTTAGGGTTGACAGAAATATAGAACGTTAGATACTTATCAGTACTAGTACTGAAACTAGATACTCATTTGAGCAAGTATCGATACTAAAAAAGTCACATTCACAGGACAGAAATTAACCTTTCCTGAATAGCTTTAGAATGATCTTGAGCTGTATCAAAACAAGTAGACTATAGAAGCACAGTCACAGACCTCTATGGAAAATACCTGGATGACTGAGGGATTACACAGATTTAAAACCACAAGATCATGTGGTGTTTTTTGTTCTTATCATCATGGTATCGGAATTAGTCTTAAGTCAGTTCCTTAGTATTGTGATAACAGTAGTTTCAGAAAAAACATTATAATGTGGTTTAATATAGATCAAAATCATCCAGAACCAAGAAAATCTGTTTGCTTTTTAGAACTAAACCATAGCTTAACGTAAAGGTGCACTGGGTAACATTTCTAGTGGCGTCTCTATGGAAATGTTATTGCTTTGTCTAGAATGTTCTACAGTATAGATTAAATCTATCTATCACGGGGAAACAAGCAGGTTATAGCTCTACATTACATTAAAATTCAGATCTGTGGAGAGTCGTCCCTATTCACAGAAGGAATTATTGTATTTTTGAGCAATAAAAACATTGTGACTAATGTCATACCATGGAACATTCCAGGAAAAGCAATAACATCTCCATGGAGACAAGCAAAGTAGCAAACCGTCCACCAGAAAAGTTGCACAGTGCACCTTTAAAACAATGCTGCTGATCTAATATTGAAGGATTCACTTTATGGGAACTGGTTTGTTGATTCACACAAAAGGTCCTCTTCATGGGACCATGAATACAAAGTCTCCACAGTGTGAATACTCGCCCACTCACACATAAATGCTTTGAACAAGAATGATATATGACTTCAGCCCTACTTGTCTGTGGAGCTCGTGGTTTGGCTCCCAGGTAGGCCAGGTTCACATTGGCTTTTCTTCCATCAATGATTGGGTTTGCATCTTTGCAGGCTCGCTCTGCTGCTCCTCTGTCCACCATGGTCACCTGTGGATGGGAACACAACACTGTAGGGACCATCAAACTGGAGAGTGGGAGTGGAAAGAAGTGTCTGCTTAGACTGGAGTAGGCAGAATACAGGAAAAAAAAAAAGTTTTTTTTTCAGATAAGTATTGCAGTTATGATTAAGGATGCACTGATATGACATTGGTATTGGATGTGCCGATACTGAAAAATTTGCTGGACTGTATATTGACTTCTAAATATCGATTCACCCAATATCCAAGTTGGACATAAAAATGTAATAAGACTATTTACTGGTTGTAGTTGACCCAGTGTCACAATGTATGAACTTTTATTTATACAAAGTTGTTCTGTTGTCATTTGAAAATACATAACAGCTTCATAACACATATTTTATTTTTGGTTTAAAGGAAAAAAATGCTATGCTCAGTCTCTGCACTATAAACAGATACTTAAAGCCATAGTATCGGAATTTGTATTGGAACTGAAAAAGCTGGATCCCTAACTGTGATTAGATTTGCAACATATGTTCAGAAAGAAGGATTCTGTTCAGAGTGCACACTGTAAACAACTCCTAGAGTGTTCTAGACTAATACCAGAATTTCATGCATTTCCAAACTTCCAAATTTCAAAATTTGTTGTAGAGGTTTAAATCTACAGGTACAAGATTTTCTATAAAAAACATGATATTTAGTTTTTTGCAGAGAATATTGTATTATCTAAATAATTACAGCCTTTGTGATTTCATGGCTGCACCAACTCAAACTGCAATTTCGATTCAATTTGCTAAATTTTATGTAACTCTAGACTGTAGCCATGACCTGGATTATAATGTGCAGCAGTCAGATGCCAAAAAGGAGAAATTGGTATACAATATATGTAAGATTTGCACTGTGCTGTTCTTACTTTATATGGTTTCAGTAATAGAGTAAGGTAATGCAATGTTGTTGCAATAACTATAAAATAACATTGTGTTGAGCTACATTTTATAAACAATAATCCCTTGAAGACACTGTTCCACCAGGAAGTGATCTACTGTGTTTTTTTTTTTTTTAACTCCATACACCTTTACTGGAATTATTTGGATAATTTAAGACCTTGACTGGCCAATCTCTATTAAACTAAAGGCAAAAGGTAGTTGTTAACTTGAAAATTACCGCTTCATGACATCACAAGGTGGAACAGAGCATTCTGAGCTTTGGAGATGTAGACAGACTAATAATAAAGGATTACTCAAATTACTATGTGACTGAAACAAAACACAACTCCAGGTATGTTTTTTGATGAAGTAACAGCAGATGGCTCAGAGTTCACAAGAATCAAGTTTGTGTAATATAGGACCTTTAAATGGTTAGTCACTATGGTAACAGCCCTAATTTCTCATCAGTCTGAAACCCATGTACAGGGAGTAACTGTTCCCCACTCTCAACATTTTCACAAGAATGATTGTGACTGATGGTAGTAGACTTGTTTTAGCAGTCCTATGTGGGCGGCTGTGTGGGAGGCAGGTTGTATTTCTTCCTGTCATATTGGGCTGCCAAAGAAGATACACAGGATTCTTGTTGACCTGCCTTCAGGGAGTGATCCATGGAGTGGGTAGATGCAAGGCAAGGTTAAAACACACACATTCAAAGCTATGCAAGCTCCAGTCATGACTACAGCTGGGTTCACATCGCTCTTTTACAGTGTAATTTAATGTTATCTGTGGTTAATGAATTATAACAGACTTTTATGTGCAAATGTACATATGGCTAGGTCTGTCATGATAACAAAATTTGAAGTACAACATATTGCTGAAGAAAATATAGATGATAAACGATAATACTGAAACCCAAGAGCAAATTTAAAACACAGAAAAAATTCTATATCTACAATATTGTTAAAAATTTAAATCATGAGCTGCAGTAAATCAACAGCAGAATGAAACACTTTTGTACTTAGTTTGCATCTGTAATGAGTCATAGAAGATGAATGAAACCTTTTATGGCTTAAATCTTATCATAGAACAAAAATATAACAAAAGTTTTCCACTACTGCATAGACAAAGTACTACGATAAATACTGACCCCAAATAACCAAATGTCCCCAATAAAAAATACTGTCAACAAGGACTATATATGGCTATTAAGGGCAAGACAACATGGCAAAAAGTTCATCACAGCTTTTTCCCTAATATTTATAAATCAACATTTTTATATGGTCAAATATGTCACCATGTTTAACCAATTTATATTTTCTTTTATTTTGAGGAGTTGTTGGTTTAACTCTTGACTTAATTCTTAAACGTCTGACTTTGAACTTCAAATGAACTGTTTGAAACTAATTGTGTGTATAGTAAGTGTGCTGGTGTTGTGTACTTTTGTGTGATTGTTGCTGTACTTTTCCTCGTCCTATAGATGATTTTACATCAACCTGCCGAGGGACTGAAGATGGAAATTAGCCACGTTGGCTATAATCTTTACATATTTACATTTTTTATGTTCATTAATATGTACTGTCCCTTTAGAAATAAATAAAATAAGAATTTTTTTTTTCTTATTCAGTACAAATAAAATGGCTTTCAGCATTAATTTCATGAAGATAAACAAGAAATGTAATCATTGCAACTTCAAATAGCTAAATATATTCCACCAAAGTCTGAACTCTCCTCCAAAGCCATTAACAATTTCATCTTGGTTTAATTAAAATTTGATTAATTGCACAGCCCGACAATGAGCCAAGTCAATAGTCCTCCACCTATATCTGAAAGCGGGACATCAGGTCTATGGATCACTAAAATACTTAGTAATAATAATATACGCATAATAGTTTAGTAACATTGTTTTCAGTCCTGGGGGTAATATAGACCGCTTAGGGCAGTCAGGGATGAAGTGAGCAAGTGGTCCCACAGCGCACAACAACTGGAACATTCCGTTTGTCTCGGCTCATTGGTTTTCATGCAAAAACCACAACAGTAATTCGTGTTTTCTAGTCATCGTCCAATTCTGTAACTGTACCCGCCTTATTATGGTTGAGGGCTCAGAGGCATTCAGGTCAGTTTTTAATTATGTTTAATGTAAATATAAACACAATAAACCTAGCACTAAACTGGCCAGGTGCTACAGTGAAGTGGCAGTGGCTCTGTACATATTGTTGTTGTGTCCTAAGGCAAGACACTTCATCCACCTTGTCTGTGTATGAATGTGTGTGAATGATTGGTAGTCAGAGGGGGTTACTGCACAGCTGCATTACTGTAATAAACCAGAACTGAACCAAGACTTTATAGAGGTGTAATTACAGACTAAACCAGGATTAAACCAAGACTAAGGATTTAGTTAACCAGGACCTGAACCTACAAAATCAAATCTGTAGCACAGAAAATCTGAAAAACAAAGCTAGGCCAAAATTTTACCTCGTCAAAACCAGGCCCAAAACTGATCCAGGATTAAACTAGGACCAAAATGACAGACTGTAATTGTATAAGGCCCCACTATGGCAGAGGAGGGGGTCAGAAAGTTCAGTATAGTGCAGTGTCTTATCTCACAGCGCAGTGCACGTCACACCTCTGTGGCCAAGATTACGCTCATAAACGTACACGGATCGGTCTTAACTTGAAACAAATTCCCCCTGTGAGTCGAATATGTGTTACTGGGTTAATTGATGACACACTTAAGAGACCATAAACTAGCATGTGACACCCACCACACGACACTCTAAAATGGGCGCAAAATAAATTGACAAATCTACTATATTAAGTTAAGGTTCTAACTGCGCAAAGATTGAAACACGAGATCTGCGCGTAATTCGTTGAAGAGTTTAATTTCTATGCGTTACATCAAAAGTTGCATTCAAAGTTTACTTACAAATCCATATCCTCTGGACTTGCCCGTCTGCTTGTCTGTTATAACCACTGCTTCGTCAATATCTCCAAAAGTCTCAAAATATTTCCTAAGCGAAGCGTCGTTCGTATGGTAAGGTAGTCCACCGACGAATATTTTGGTGTAAGTAGTGTCTTTTTCGTTGATGGAGTGCATTATTTCTAAGGGAAGACCTGCGAGTTGACCCAGCGGAGTAGACATGCAGATGAAGAGGGTAGGACTGCTGAAGACGAGAGCACGAGAGAAATGTGGACCGCTATAGCGACCGTGCGTCCATGGCAGTTGAATTGGCAGTCCCGGGGCACGCTGGTGTAAGATATGCAGCCTTCTGACAGGTGTCTTGTAGTCTCTTGTCTCCTGTTCCGGACAAAGCGAAGTCTCTCGGCTCGGGTAGGCGCGTCTTGTGCCCCCCTGATCCAATGGAGCCGCGGTGCGTCTGTTTTTATTGGTGCCTCCCGCCTCCAGCTCCTCCCTTATCTACAGTCAAATGCTATTCACAAGAAGTCAACTCTGGTAATTCAAAGTAGTAATTTAATAAACGATAGATAGAAACATACCGTGAATTGTATTTAGTTTCATTCACACATGTTTAACACACAAACTCTGCATAATTAGGCTGAGTTCTTCGCTCAAACAGAAAACACTGTTGCACCTTGTGATGTCATGCAGTAATGCAGGAAGTGTTCCACTCTATTTTTAAATTTCATACACCTTCACTAGAATCATGTGAATGATTTCAGTGGTGGAATTGTCTCCACTAAACTAAAGCTAAAAAAGTAGCTGTTAACTTGAAAACTACCACTTCATGACAGCACAAGGTGGAACAGATCATTTTGAGCTTTGGAAATGTAGACAGACTAATAATAAAGTGTAGCTCAAACATGTGTTTATGAAATAAAACGCAACTCTTAATCTTAAGTAGGAGTTGCTATATGTTTGTAATAACAGCTTATTCGTGGGTTTCAGCTTCTTGTAATATGCAACATATGGAAGACTTTTTCACATTCAAATGTGAAATGTATTGTGAGATGGATTGTTCTGATTGAAATTGTTCATCACTATGGCAACGATCGTAACTTTTCATCATTTTGAAATGCATGATTAGATCAGGCTACGAAAATAATTTTCAAAATGTCTGACTGCAAATGATAATAGAGAAGTAAATGTGCTGCAGACAGTCTAGAATCCTTTTTAGAAGACCCACAGATATGACCATATAAAGTTATAGGTAAATCCAATAATATTATATTATCATTATTATTAATATTATAATAAAATAATGCACAGGCAATGTAATGTTTAAATATAAATTTATATTTACAATGATATTAACATCGAGGAACGGGTTAAGAAAAATGCATTCATATTTTAATCCTGTAAATGTTACACAGAAGTCTCTTCTTTATATTCAACAATGCACTTGTTTTAAAGCAAAAATGGTTGGTTTTACATTATTTCCAGATGTATTTAGGAAACTGAGGAGAAAAACAAAGGTATTATTATTAAACAGTAATGCAATGACATGATTCAACCTCATTTTGAGCTTAGACACATTCAGCAGCACCAAAACTGAACTGTCCTCAAGTTAGCCATCTGAGCAAAACCAGACTATATGCTACATGAATGGAAATATAATGACATTTTAACATTTCATATAGTTATGTGCAACAGTAAAAGCACGTTTAAACATATCTACAAGAAGCAAATGAAGATCTTTGGGTTGAGCATATCTTCAGGACAGAAAAAGGCAAAGTTTTATGTCATTAACATATGATGTAGTTCATGTGTTGTGTTAACCAGCATTTAACATTTCAGACTTAACTCAAATGAATGAATATTTATGAATGAAAGAAAGCCGCAGATCCAGCACCTGGAGACTCATTAGCACCTCTGTATCTAAGACTGCACAGGAAACAATAATTTAAAAAAGTGCTTGGATAGCTCTGGACAGGTTACAATAGGAGGCAGAACCGTTCACACCAATGGTTGAAGTATTGAAAATAAAAGCTGACCTATGGAATAAAAAATTACACTTTTAAATATCAAGCCTTGCAATCTGTGCAAAAACAGAATGCAACCTACAAAAGCATATATATATTTATATTTATATAATATATATTTATAATACATTTTGAGCATGTATATACAATTCTTATTTACAGATGACCGCTCCAAACAAGACATCATATTTTAATACTGCAGTACCATAAGATCAGAGGATGTATCAGAAGACTCTTTATAACATTATAATGTGCTTAATTCAAAATAGAACTGTTTCAGATTAGTCTTCATATTTTGTCTGCACAATTTCATTTTTAAAGTACCCAGATTGACTTCAACATGTTTTATCAAATACGTAAAATAAATTAATTTAAACATTGGTATTACAATAATCCTTTTATGACTACAGCATATCTATTACCTTTACCCACTCTAAAAACGTTAAATCCTCTCTTTCGATGGACAGCGCCTGTTTGAAAGGGAGACACAGATACATTACACAGAGTTTGTGGAGAAGGCCTCTGTATTGCCACAATCCTTTAGGCGTTGGCCTTGTGTTAAAGTGCATGGAGCCAACGATAGGTTGAGTTGTACTTCAGCTGAAGAACACAACTATGTGCTACTGCGTAATGACATTCATCAGTGTGTCACAATCTACAACATGTTACTGCACAAACTGTACAACTGCAGCGGAAACCCATAGATACAAGAGTGGTACATTCCACAGACAAGAGCCTTACAATATGAACAATGTCCCGGGGTTCGCTCTTGGTTTGGTCCAACAGAAGGTGTGTTTTAGCTGAGGCCACACCCCTAGTAAAAGGAGACACGAGTTTTTGAAGGAAAATGTCTCACAGTGTATTTGTGATGTGATTGTATAGGCTTCTTTTAAGACAGTTTTATTCTGGTGGCAATACTGCCTCTACTGGCCACTGAGTCAAACATCCTCCAAACAGAGGGAACTTCAGTCCTGTACTGCAGATGTGTCACCTCTGATTGGACTGCTTCTGTCTTTCAGCAATATTTCTACAGCAAAAGAAAAACATGAAAAAATATAATTTAGACATCAAATAAAAGTACAGTACAAATTTGAATGTTCAGAAATGTGATGGTACCTGATCAGGTCCCATTGGCATGCGTCCCATGACCATAGGGTTCATGCCCATATGTCCCCCCATCTGCCCCATGTGCCCTGCCCCTCCAGAGGACATGCCCCCATTCATCATCATCCCCCCGTACTGCTGCTGCCCTGGGCCACCGTGCGGTGCAAACTGCTGCTGAGGGTAGGAGCTGTCCAAGGACAAACATCAAATCATTAAAAACCTTATTACATTTCATATGTTTTTATATTCATAGCTTTCTAGATGATGTGCACCTGTTGCGCCCCATGCCTCCCTGAGCCCAGCCCTTCATGTCTTGGCCCTGGTACATGTGGCCGCTCTGCTGCTGCATCATGGGGTTCTGAGGGCCCATGCGCCCTCCCATCATGGCGTTAGGAGGACTTCCATTGGGGCCAAATGAAGCATCTGGCTGCTGACCCATCCCTGTGTGAAAATATTTAATATTTAAAGACTTGTCACAAACAAATATAAAAGCATATAATATCTTATGCAGTAAGTATATTATAATATGATAAATAATAAATACTATAATTACATAACATGGTTCAACATGATGTCATAACAAAAGATGCACTGTCTAGAGTGACCACCAGAGAGCAGCAAACGACCTACCATAGTTTCCCCCATAACCAAACTGCTGTGGGCCTGGCTGGCCCATGCCCGGCCCCCCCATGGGGCTATCCATGCCACCGGGGGCTGTAACATTTGGAGGAGGACTAAAGCCCCCAGCTGCAGCAGCCTGCTGCTGCTGCATCAGCATCATCATCCTCTGCTTCTTCATTTGCAGAGACACCATCTCCCTGCTGCGCTGAGCCATCATCTGAGCGTTCACAAACCCAGGCTGCAACAGGCATACAAAGGTTAGTTTTATACTAACCACATAATACACTGTATAAAGAGGCAGGGCTGGGCCTTTTTAACATCATCAACTGAAATACATAGATTTAAAGCTTTAACTAATGGCTCACCTGTCCTCCCATGCCCGGCTGCATACCAGGCCTCATACCCGGGTTTCCCCCTGGGTTCTCCATTTTTATGGCCATCCCCTGTCGTGTCTGATTCATGAACTGTGTAAATAAAACAGTGTATTTAAAAAAAAACAAAAAAAAAACATGATATAATATGCTATCTTTATGGTTTGTAGTGTAAAGTGGAGTATATTTGTCACCTGTTGGCCTTGTAGCCTCTGCTGGAGCTGCAGCCTCATAGGTTTGTTGGCACTCATCATTCTGGGTCTCATCATGTTTGCCCGTGGGTGTCCCATGCCCCCCATGCCCCCCATCCCTGGGAAGCTTCCCCCCTGACCCATCTGAGAGAGCATGGGGCCAAAACCTCCCTGTTGTGACTGGCCTTGCATAGGGTTGCCTCCATACCCGGACTGCATCGGCATCGCAGGAGGCCCGGGATAGCCTTGGCCATAGAGGGACTTCTGCTCCAGCAGCATGGCGGGATCCTGCCCAGGGAAAGGCTCAAGGGGCTGTTCTGATCCCTGGTTCTAACAAGATAACAACAGAACACATAGTAAACTGTAATTTGTCCTTGCAGCCAGTTAAAGATATTTCAGAGATTACTAAAGTCACATTACCTGGCTCACCAGGTCGGGGATGCCAAGGGCGCGGTCTATCTCCTCCAGAGCAATGCCATCTGTGTTGTTGAGCAGAGAGTCAAGCTGGTCCAGGAGCGAACGCTCGTCATTCTGACCCTCGCTAGTCGATGGAGGCACCAGCAAATCGTCCAAAGAGTTTCCAAATGGACGCCTTTTACAAAAGAGTCATTACCATTATTCATTATTATATTATTATTATTATTTTAACATAAACAAGTGATTTAGTAAACATGTTGGCAGGTTAATGAAATAAAATGGACATACCGATTACCATCCATGCCCATCATAGAGTCTGGCCATGAGGGGGATTGACTGGGCTGCCCCTGTTGGCTAAAGGGGCTCATTCCCATGTCGCCAGATCCACCTGAACAAATACACAAGTTTTCAGAAAACAAGAACAAACTAAAACTACTAAAACACAGGAAGGTTAATGAGTTTATATGAGTCTGATAGCTGCAGAGGTAATTACAATGGGGTAAAAACTAATCTTTGCTTCATAACAAACATGTTAAGGTAACCATGTAGTTGTAATTAACACAATGACAGAAGGAATACTTTGCAGACTGACAATGGTTTCTGTACTGTAAAATTAGGAAGGATTTCTACATGTGATGCAACGATCCTGGGATTAAGTAAAATATAATTCTAGGTATGTTTTTTTTTTATTTTTTA